GTTGGATTAAATGTTGAATGCAGGAGATCCAATAAGAAAAAAAGGGGGTTTGGGTGGGGTGAGATGGGATTGTGTGCGTTTGTTGGTTTCCACATCTATTTTGTTCCTACCTCCAGCACATAAGAGGGAACAATTTCTTATTAGAAAAAATGGATAGACAGGCCAATGATACTTTCTTGGGTTCCACTTCTTACATTGTTATTCTCTTCTAATCCTAGTGGTGGATACTCCAAGCACAGTGCCGGCTCACGTAAGTTCGACAACAGATTTTGCCGACCACCATATAACTGAGTCCCCAACGTCTACTGATGGCTGGGGAGAACTTGAAAATGGAATTCACGAAGAGAATGAAAGTGACAAGGATGGGTGGGACGATGTTGAACCCCTGGAAGAGCCAAAACCGTATCCTGTTCTTGCGAACATTCAAGCAGCTCAAAAGCGGCCGGTGTCACAACATGTTTCGCAGCCTAAACAAGGTAATTGAACTTGTGTATCAAGAATTGCAGTTTTTTTAGCTTCTGCTGTTATGCATTGATGTCTGAATGAATAGAAAATATTCCAGAAACGTATAAAAGTTACTGGTTTTAATAAAAGAGTAAAAATGCATAATATTGGTTTGAGTTTCAAGTGTACCTAAATCGACGATAATTGTCTTGTGGTGGATAAATCATATATCTTTTATAACAATGAAATATTTGATTATCATATTGCATGCCTCCACAATGGCCTACAAAGTGTCAACATTGGTAGAAGCTTAACAATGCCTTATCTTAGTTCACCTAAGTTTGTAAGTGGTCAGTCTTTGCGGTGTTAGTTAACTGGAAGGTGTTTGTGTTATTCTGTAGCAACGAGTTTGAGACCGAAAAATACAGCCAAGGCTGTCAAAAATGAAGATGATGATTTGTGGGGATCCATTGCCGCCCCTGCACCAAAAACAGTTTCAAAACCTTTGAATGTGAAAGCAAGTGCAGCAGTTGATGATGATGATGATCCATGGGCTGCGATTGCTGCTCCTCCACCCTCTACCAAGGCAAAGCCTCTATCAGTAGCCAAAGGCCGTGGAGCCAAAGCAGCTGCTCCAAAATTGGGCGCACAGAGGATAAACCGGACGTCTTCGTCCGGGGTGTAAATTACACCAAACAAGGAGAGAAGATTTTGGTGGCTGGTGTTCATGTTATCATGGGTGCCAACAGGAATGGCGTATGAACTTTGTCCAACTCTTATGAATTGATTTGTAATGATATTCACTTGATTGTTTTGGTTTTACAGTCTACACACAAGACACAAGAGAAGCTGCCATTTTGTTTAGGTGATATATATACATATTATATAGGATGGACATGGACGTGCACTACTAGTCTACTACTACTAGTAGGGGAAGTTAACTGCCTATCAATTTTTGGGCATGTAAAGTAAATTTGTGAGATGTAATTTGTCAAATTCTTCTTCTAGCCAAAATGCACAGGGGAAGTTTTCTACCCATGACACATTTTCCTGGCTCTTATCTTTTGACAGTTCTATATTTTTTCTGTGGGAAATACTTAAGGGCCATGCTCATAGCTATGGTCTGAAATTTCTGGGCTATTGGGGGGCAACTTGGCCCAAAACGTTTTACATGCCGCGTGCTCTTATTGTTTTTTAATGTTTTAGTGTGTTCAAACGTCAGAGTATGTGTACGTGTATCTTGGTAGTGGTTGTTTACCAGAGAAAGAAAAAGTATGTGTACATGTACCGGATTTTGAACTTTTAATTTTCTTTGGAAAACCTTCATCTGCATGTATGTGAATTAACATTGATAATATGATAAAAAAGTGCATGTATGTGAATTAACATTGATAATATGATAAAAAAGTGCAGAATTTGTTGTCTAAAATTGACCCCAAAGGGGGGCGGGCCAGTACCAAAGCTGTCCTCTGCTCTGCTTTATATAGACGCCGGCGCCGCAATTATGATTTGCAAAATTGAGAGAAAGGGGCCACATTTCAGTCTCAATTAAAATTTCAACTTTCAAGTTGTTTTCTTGTGCCCCTCCTTCTGTTTTGGTTTTTGGTAAAATGCCCTGTTGTGTCACGTTCTCAGGCTTGACAACTTGCATAATTTGGGCAGACGGACTAATTTAGAGGAAAAATAAAATTATGTGATCATAACCGACTCTTCATATTCGTTGTCTTTTACTCTGTGTTTATAGAAATTTTAAAAGAAAAATTATACTATGGTAGTGTTGGAATTTATTAGGTTTATTTAGGAAATTAATTAGAGATTTGATTTGATTTTGTAGTAGGGTATTTTTGGCATTTACGCATTAGGGTTTCTTTGGTTTATTGCTCTATAAATAGAGCTTGTAATTTAGTTTGAGAATCAAGTTATTCACAATGTAGTCTCTTAGGGTTTTGTAGCCGTTTCGGCATTCTTGTTTGTTTAATAATATTCCTATTATTTTGTAGTCTTGTTTGTTGCGCACTCTGATATTCAACTTGGTATCAGAACGGGTTCGATCCTTATGGTTCAATCCGTTCTTGTTGGTATCAATTTGTTTTGTCGCTTTTTGTTTTTTGGTTTAGTTTGGGTCTCGTTTAGGCTTTCGCTTCCGCTTTGCTCTGTGTCCCTTGTTCTTGGTCACTCTGTTTGGTCTCGTTTAGGCTTTCCCTTCTGCAGTTTGACTTTTCACTAGAGTTGTTCTGTCGGCTGCAATCCCTTTATTTTGCAAGACTTGTTTGCTGCATCATTTGGTTTTGCGATCTGGAGAAGACCCCAGGTCATAAGAAAAGGAAAAAAGTATGGCTGGTTTGAGGCTTAGGCCCACACGGGCAAAGAAAAAATATGGTTTTGAATATGGTTTTTTGTTTGTTTGTTCGGAAGTTGGAATTTGCACTGGCATTGGAATCTTGTACTTACACTGGTGAAATTTCGTATTGAAATTGGCATCGGAAATTGGAATCGGCATCGGCATCGGAATTTGGAGGCTTGCATCCACATCTGCTTGTTGGCAAACTCATGTCGTGTACCGCCATGAGTTTGACGGGAGGTGTTGGAATTTATTAGGTTTATTTAGGAAATTAATTAGAGATTTGATTTGATTTTGTAGTAGGGTATTTTTGGCATTTACGCATTAGGGTTTCTTTGGTTTATTGCTCTATAAATAGAGCTTGTAATTTAGTTTGAGAATCAAGTTATTCACAATGTAGTCTCTTAGGGTTTTGTAGCCGTTTCGGCATTCTCGTTTGTTTAATAATATTCCTATTATTTTGTAGTCTTGTTTGTTGCGCACTCTGATATTCAACTGTTGCATGCAGAGAATCTTAAATCCCTGAGTATGCACGACATTTGCAAATTATCAATAACAGCTGGCTAGTATTTCAAATAAAATTAGTAAAACGCATATGGTATTAGTAATACGGTGAATGCCGATCTCCCCCAACAAGTAAATAAGATCCAAATCAGATAGAGGGTAGAGCAGATGGGAAAAACAGGAAAGAAAGAAAGTAATAATATTTTGTAATCTGCGATTGTGAAGTTGTAAAAAAAGGGAAAGTTGGGAGATTTTTTGCCATCCAAGGAAGCTTTGATTGCGGATGAGAGATATTTTTCCAATAATACTAAATTAAACCAAAAGTAGGAACAAGTGTGCCTCCGAATCCCATGGTTATATTGGATAGGCTCCTCTTTAACTCTTTAGTTAGTTTTGTTGTGTTGTGTTGTGTTGTTTGCCTCAGTCTCCTTCCCTTCCCTTCCCTTCCCTTCCCTTGACAACTGCAAGTCTGCAAGTGCAAATAAAAGGCCACCAAAAGATTGAAAGGAAACTTTGATCACTTTTCCATCAAATACAAGGAAAAAAAACAGGTGATGCGTCCTGCTTTCATCTCAAATACCCAATTCCTCCCTCTCCTTTGTCACTATTTTTTTTCGATTTATATTTTTGTTTTGCTCTGAGACTGCACGCAGTTGTCTTATATCCCGACATCATACAATACATATGCTGATTTCGTTTGTTTGGATAAAAAGGACTAGAAATAGTCGGTAAACCCCAATTTCTTTTCTCTCACTTTGTCACTCTCTTGATGGTGGTGGTTTTATTATGTGTGAGATGAGATATTAATGGGAATGGGAATTGTAGGTGTGTGAAATTGCAAGTTGAGTTGGAGAGTTGAGATCGTATGTATGTATGTATGTATGTATATTTCAATCCCAGCTGTGGATGAATGTGCAAAGGTAGGTAGTAGCTGTTGGGTGATGAGACCAAGTGGAGTGGACCATCCTCAGTCTGATGGATTCCTCCTTCTGCAGTTGCCTCTCTGGATATTTCGATTCAGGATAATCCATCCACATCATCCATTCTTTTAATTCCTTGCTTTGTAAATTCCAACTTCTTTTCGGGCTTTTTCTCAAACAGCCCTCCCTTTTTGTTTTCTTTCGATAGATTTATTTTTTTTCTCTTTTGGGTTTATCTAAATTTCTGGTCTGGATGCTTTCTCTCTCTCCCAGTTTATTTGCTTTTATCAGGCCGCTTCTATTTCTCTTATTGTTTGTAAATGTCTATGCTGATGTAAACTCTGCAGTAAAATATGTAATCACAGTAAATTCCCCTTACCTTTTTTGGTCAATTTTCACTTTTTGGTAAAATACTGACAAATACAAACACGCACACGCACAGAGGAGGGGAGAGAGAGAAGGGGAGAACAAGAGGTGAAACAAGCAAGGTGTCTCGCGTACTCAAGGGTTGGGTTTTGCTTTCCTAAAAGTACAATCTTTCTTGTGACACTACTGCTTTTCAAAGTTAACTCATTTGCTTGCTGGTTAAACTGTCTCTCTCGCTCTCTCTCGCTCTCTCTCATTAGGTTTAACAGCATTTTGCTGGTTACTATTATCGCTGTTGTGAGTGGAACCATGATTGGGAAAAAAAAAGGATGTACAGGTGCACTTACGTAACAATGATTGAAATTTTTCATCTTTTTTTGTTTTAGTTTGGGAATGAATTCACAGCGGTAAGGTTTTATTTTATTTTTGTTGAATTTTGAAATTTAATTTCTTGTCCTAATTTCCCAATTTTGAATTCTGGATATGATTAGGGATTGGGGAAGTAGTGATGATGTGGATTATGGTGGTTTTATTGTTTGCTTAAATAGAGGATAAGGATGCTGTGAAAATTGAGTTTGAAAAGAGTGGGTCGCTTGAGAATAGCAGATAACTCCTTGTGGGCCTGCGCTGTTAAAACTGTTGATATCCCTATCAGTGGTGGTGGGGATGGGGGTGGGAGTGGGGATGGGACTGCTGCTCAGAAACTGGGATTTTTGCTTTCATACATTTCAAAGACTTGAAGGTTTTTTCTTCTCTGTTTGGTTATTTCGTGGTCTGTTTCATATTTCACAGAGTAAAACCCTAATTACCATTCTACTACTAAATTTACGATTGGAATTAGTTATATATATATATATATATATATTTTTTTTTTTTTTAAACTGCCATTTATTGCATCTATGATATTATGGTTTTCAGAGGTTTCTCATGCTCTAACTGAAGTTTGTTGCCTTTTTGCTCATTGATAGGTCACCAACTCAGAAAACTCCAATTCTTGAATTGTGGAGCAAATCGCCATTGAAATCTTAACTGAGTTTCTCTTGCTTAGCGTCTTACGCATCCGTTTCCCATAATTTAGCCCGCCATCAAAGAAGTTGCTAGCTGTAAGTTGTAACCAACTATTGAAATAATTTAGATCCAATTCCCATGAACAATTCTAGATTCTTGATAGTCCAAGACTCGGTGACTGGTGTAGCATAAATTGCGGAGGAGGTTGCTATATTTAATCTACTCTTCTTCCAGTGTGAAATATTTGGATAGTGGAGTCAAACAAGGATTACACAGATGACTGTGGAGGAAGTGGTCAGTAGCTCCTTATGGACTCGAGAGCAGGATAAGTCATTTGAGAATGCCCTTGCAACTTATCCTGAGGATTCTTCAGATCGGTGGGAGAAAATTGCAGCTGATGTACAAGGGAAAACCCTAGAGGAGATAAAACATCATTATGACCTCTTACTTGAGGATTTAACCCAGATCGAAGCTGGTGTTGTGCCGCTGCCTTGCTACAATTCTTCTTCAGAGGGTTCAACTAGCCATGCCAGTGATGAAGGAACCAATAAGAAAGGTGGACATTCTGGAAACTATAGCAGTGAATCTAATCATGGAAGTAAGGCTTCAAGGGCAGATCAGGAACGCCGAAAGGGGATTGCTTGGACAGAGGATGAGCACAGGTTAGTATTTTATTGTTGATTTAATGATTTTCTTGCCCGATAGGTGACATTTGTAGGAGTATCTGAATTAAGCTAAAGATTGGTTATTCTTTTCAAGTCCTCTATTTATCTTTATTATTGGTAGTAAATTTTATCAGGAGTTTTCTTTCCAATGGTAAGTTTTCTGAAGTTGCTTTAGGCCCTAAGGTTTAGTTGGCTAAACTATATCGAGCTTTACCTTTTGAAGAACTTCCATATCCAGAATATTCTTTTACGTTATTTGTATTTAGTATCAAGCTCATAGCCCATAGGTTATAATTTTTTGCAGTATCCTTGAACGATATTGGCATAAATAAAGAAAACATGGTATTTTCGTATTTAAACACATGACTAACATGGCGGCTGACTTCTCCTCATTTAACTTTTCTATATTGATGTGCAATTTGGTTAGGCTTCATTTGGTTTTTTCTATATTTCATATGTAAGACTTGTTAAGAATTTATGGATACCTTATCGACTGTTAGTTAAATCTGAAAACATGAAAATTTGGATAACAAAGAAAACGGCATTGTAGTAGAAACCATCTAAAATGAGAGCCTTTTAGTTTTGTATCCAGGCTCCTTTAATTAAAATTTTCTTGGGATTTGGTGTTCATGGATGGAACACCCTAGTGTAATATAATGATTTTGGTATATGCCTTACCTCAGCTATTTGCATATTGCACTACAGCATTGGGCTAAGAAACCAGTGTTTCTGGCACGAAGTGACTGGCAACTGCAACACCTTCTTTACTCAAATTGTGATTAGTTCTTAATTGTTTTAGTAGAAATATGTGCTCTGTAGATTTAGATGTGAACAGTAATTGTTATCATGAACACTGGTTTATTTATGGAAGTATAGAACTAAGGTATGCAGCTATGCAGATACCGTTTCAATAGGAAAGTGGCTTGAAATGACAAGAGACATGAAATAGCTCTGTCCTGTCACCATGAAACAACTAGGAAGGCCCCCCAATCAACAATCCCATGGTAAAAACTTGTTTCTAGAGGCCGCACTTTTTGATATAGAAACCAGGTTCTATGGAATTTTATAGGGGAAATGGCCTGTTATATTACTGTTAAGTGGTGCCAACTGAAACGTTTGCGTGTTTTGATAAGAAAACACATTTGGCCAAGTGGGAGTTAGTTACTAAAAACAAGGAGGAAGGAGGTCTAGGGGTGGGGAACTTGAGGAATCAGAACGAAGCATTATTGGCTAAGTGGTTGTGGAGACTCCCAAGGGAATCACAGTCTCTGTGGCACAAGGTGATAAGAAGTAAGTATGGGCTACAAGCTAATGGATGGGATGCACTTCCTCAAAGGAGGGTTTCAAGTCGAAGTCCATGGAAAGACATTTCGAGTGGCTCTCATCAGTTTCTCAGTTGCTGCACGTTTGAGGTGGGCAACGGAGAGAGGGTGAGGTTTTGGGAGGATGGGTGGTTAACAGGGGGACCGCTGAAGGAGCAATTCCCTAGATTATTCCTACTATCGAGGAAGCATAATCAAAACATCTCGAGCTTCGTGGAAGTTTCATCAAATCCTTTGAGTTGGAACTTTGATTTTAGGAGAAACTTGAATGAGATGGAGATAGTAGAGGTGGCCACATTATTACAGAAACTGGAAGAGGTTCGATTGTCTCCATTAAAGATGGATATCAGAAGGTGGAATCTGGAGGCTTCAGGTTTGTTCTCATGCAAATCTTATCGTTCATTACTGAGCAACAATGGGAGTGTGCACTATTTTCCACCTTACCCTCAGATTTGGAAATCAAAAGTTCCTCCGAAGGTTAAAATACTTGTATGGCTTGTGGCCAACGGGAATCTAAACACATGCGACAGAATTCAAAGGAGAAACCCTCTTATGTGCTTATCACCACATTGGTGTAGCTTGTGCAAAGCCAAGGAGGAGAGTGTAAATCACATCTTTCTTCATTGTTCCTACTCGATCCAACTATGGTGGAAATTGTTACAGGAGGTTAAAGCAAGTTGGGTCATTCCTAAAGGGTGTTTCGAGCTACTAAGCACAAACTTTCAGGCACTTGGAAAAAGGAAAAAATCCAAAGTTTTGTGGGGTTGTCTGGTATCGGCAATTTTCTGGCATATATGGCTGGAACGCAACAAGAGGATTTTTGAAGATTATACTGGAGTGGGGGCAGAAGAACTTTGGGGGAGAGTAAAATATTGGGCAGCTCTTTGGGCCTCGGTCACTAAAGAGTTTGATAATGTTTCTCTATCTCAAATTCTATGGGATTTATTAGCAGCAGTTAAGTGAGCTAGGTCTAGAAATGGCTGCTGTAGCCAAATCCTAATGGTTTTTCCTTGTTATACAGTTAGTGGACTTCTTATCCACTTCTGTGCTGTTCTCTATTCTTTAATAAAATTGTTTCTTCTCAAAAAAAAATAATCTGCATATAGTACTTATAGAGGTGGCATTTCAGCTGAGAAAGATGGAAAGAATTGTTTACCCAAAAAAAAAAAAAAAAAAAAGATGGAAAGGATTGTGGGAACTCTTAAATGTAAGGGTTTTAAAGAAACATAAAACATCTGTAACAAAAAAGTGAGATCATATTTCGTTCATGGTCATTTCTTATATTTACAACTGAAATCAGCTGACCACATTATCAGACTTGTGGCCTGATAGAGCCGTGAGCCGTGTGTGGTATGCATCAAGTTCTTGGTGTCCGGTCTGCCATTTATTGTCTCTGTAAATGAATTTGTCCAACAGTGTTTGCTTGACTTAAATACGTCATATTCTGTTTTCTAGTATGTATGATGATTTTTTTTTTTTTCTCAATTCTCTGAGTAGGAATTTTGGTAGTATTCATCTTGTGTCTCTGGGTTCTTATTATAGGTTAAATATTGATCACTTGCTAATTTTTTGGTGAGGGCTTTCTGCAATTTTGTGAGCCTCCAACACAGAGAATCTCAAGCTGATTCCAAATCCGAAAACTATTTTGTCCCTATGGTGTTCCATTTATTATATATAGTTCCAACTTTTCTGTGTTTAGAAGTTTGGTGTCTGTTGAATTCACTGCTTATCTTAAGGTGTGTATGGTCCTTTAACATGTCCTAGTTACTGTCATCTTAGACCAACCATGTAATGTCTTCGGACAATTTGCTTCTGTGAGTTTTTCAATATAACGACTCATGTTTTTTTTTCTGTTTTTGTTCCATGACAGGCTGTTTCTTCTTGGCTTGGAAAAATATGGGAAAGGTGACTGGCGAAGTATATCTCGGAACTTTGTGGTAACAAGAACTCCTACGCAAGTGGCAAGCCACGCACAAAAGTACTTTATACGCTTGAATTCAATGAACAAGGACCGGAGGCGATCAAGCATTCATGACATCACCAGTGTCAACAATGGAGAAATTTCGGCAGCTCAAGGGCCGATCACTGGTCAAGCAAATGGTGCTGCAGTAGGTTCCTCTGGCAAGTCTCCCAAACAATCTCCTGCTGGGCCCCCAGGGGTCGGCATGTATGGTGCACCGAGTATAGGGCAGCCAATTGGAGGACCCCTTGTCTCAGCTGTTGGCACACCTGTGAATCTCCCTGCTCCCCCGCACATGGCATATGGCGTTAGAGCCCCGGTACCTGGAGGAGTTGTTCCTGGTGCACCAATGAACATGGTTCCGATGACATATCCAATGCCTCATAGTTCGCATAGGTAATGTGATATAGAGCAGCAGCAGCTTCAGGAATCAGAATCATCTAGTGTACAAAGAGGAGGAGAAAACTTTTAGCTTGTGCTCTTGGTTGGGGTTAATTAGGATCAGAGTGCTCCGAGCCTGAATGTTTTACTTATTGGCAAAGCACAAGTTCAAGTGGTAGGTGGATGGTCCGTCGTTGCTTGTCTATTCTTGTTGGAATAAGCCATTTATTTGATTGGGTGGGGGGCGAAGAATGGCATGAATCTGTACAGGCAAATTCTGAAACAGATGATGGCATGAAGGCAAAGCAATATTTCTTTATTGGCGATTACAAATCCAGTCTACTAGTGTAGCATTCAAGGCAGTGACCCTTTTTGCATGTTATATTAGCATTGTCTTTGCTATAAAAAATTATTTATTTAAAATCTTGTTTTCAGACTTGTTAGTGATTGCCCAAAGTTTGTGAATTGCGAATTACATTGATGTGAAAATATGTTGGAATTTTCAACAATTTCTTGTATTTCTGACTGATCCATCCAAGTGTTGATGACCATTTGATCTAACGATAGCCGGTCTCCACTCCACTTTGTTGAAAGAAACTCTGTGTTTAAATGGTCTAAACCGCGGTCTGCCGGTTAGTCCTAAAGTCAAATACGGTGAATGAGAGTGAGTTCAGAAAGTAGTAGTTTCAAAGGCTTGAAAAGCCCTTTAAAACAAGCACGAATGAGTTGGAGTTTTAAACTTGGATCGCACTTTTTGTCTTGGAAGCAATGTCTGCAACACCAACACCACATTCCTCCTGGCACCTACTCTCAATCATAAAACCCAGCAGGCACTCTATCTCTATCGCCACCAAATTTTCCATAAACCCTAGTTCCCCAAATCCCCCGGAATCGGAATCAAAAACCCTGTGGACCGTCTCTGATATCGCTGCCGCTGTCAACGGGAGGATCGTAAAATGGGGTCCTCCTGGAACCATATCTACAGACACCAGAACCCTGCAACCTAACCAGTGGTTCTTCGCCATTGCCGGCCCAAACTTCGATGCCCACGATTTCGTCACCCCGGAGTTGTCCCGCAGAGGCTGTGCCGGAGTTATCGGCAACCGCGTCTGCGAGAATTGGGACAGAGGCTTTGTTGAATGCCACGGTAACACTGTCGTTTCGTTGAAGAAGATGGCTAGTTATGCAAGGAACAGGTTTCACGGTGAAGTGGTGGGAGTGACTGGGAGCGTGGGAAAGACTAGCACAAAGTCCATGATAGCTTTGGCTCTTGAGAGTTCAACATGTTTGGTTCATCAAAGTCATGGGAATTGGAACAATGAAATTGGGGTTGCTCTGTCGTTGATTGGGATGCCGAGGAATTCTGGGGTTGTGGTTTTGGAGATGGGAATGAGCGGGAAGGGGGAGATTTTAGAGCTTGCGAGGACGGCTAGGCCGACCGTAAGGCTCATTCTAAATGTGGGGGCTTCGCATTTTTGCAACTTTTCGAGTTTGGAGGAAATTGCAATTGCCAAAGGGGAAATTTTGGCGGAAGCAAAGCCCGGGGACGTCTGTGTTTTGAATGCTGACGATCCACTTGTCATGAGCCTCCCCGTGCCATATGGTGTCAAAAAGGTCTTTCTGCTCTCCCTGGTCTGGGCGCTTCTTATTTTTTCTGTATAAAATGTAAAATGTGAATGCACCAATATACCAAAACAACACATCTTTGATCTTTCTCTTGTCCTGCTTTTAGTTTCTTTACAATACAAAATTGGGTGATTTGGAAAGCAAGCAATGAAACTCATACGAGAGCAGATACTGGATCTGCTAGTATTTTGCATAAGGTTATAGGTGAAGTCAGTTTGTTGTTTAATTTCTTGCCATAAACAGGTGCTGTTTGGTCGGAGACGGACAGTGGGGTGCCATGTTCGGTTGGTTGTATCAGAAAGCACAAACAGGGGTCTTGGAGTTAGAGTTGTCTTACAGAATCACCAAGAGATGTAAGCCCCTCCCCTCCCTCATACACATTCCTTGTCTGAGTTAAATAACATTGTTTTCGTTGCTAGCTACTGTTTTTCGTTTTGATAAGCCTAAGTGCTCCCGCTCACGCTCTTCACTGAAATGGTGGTTTCGTTTGTTTTCAGGGTAGAGTTTGTGATACCTAGTCCAGGCGTCCATTTGGGTGTCAATGCATGTGCGGCAGCAGCAGTAGCGACTCTTTTAGGAGTATCTCTTTCTCAAATTGGAGTTCGCCTGTCAGCCTTTTCTCCGGTTCACATGAGGTTGGAGCTTGAAATTGCTAGAAATGGAACCAAGATAGTGAATGATGCTTACAATGCAAACCCTGTGAGCACCAAGGCTGCCATTGACGTGCTTGAGAGTATTGATTGCAGAGGCAAAAGAATCGCCATACTCGGAGACATGTTAGAACTTGGTGGAATTGAGATGGAGTCACACGAGATGATTTTAAAGCAGTGTCGTAGTGCTCGTATTGATTTAGTTGGCCTCGTGGGGGAGAGGTTTTGTGCAGCAGCTGCGAGTATGAAGTCGCTTGACGAGATGAACATCTTATATGCTATTGACTCGGAAATTTTAGCGCAGGAAATTGTGAAGATGGTTAATTGTAATGATGTTGTGTTGGTGAAGGGTAGTCGGGGATTGCAAATGGAAAAAGTTGTGAATGCAATTAAATTAATGGAATCAAACAACCCTATTTAATGACTTTCTCATATATAGAGAAATAGAAATGCTGCCGAGTCTGATTTAAAAGTGCTTAAAATTTGAGCTTAATTTTGTGTTCTCAACTGAAGTTGATAATTTATTTAGTTGATGATGTCTTTTGTCACCCCAAGCGTCATAAAATCATGCAGAAAAGTTGGAAGTATGACTAAGCCACCTTTTTTCTGTGATTCTGCGATCCCTTGCGCATTCAAGCACGAGGCATGTTAGTGACTATAAAACTCTTTTGGCCAAACTATGTTTAGAGTGACTTTCGAAATGACTAAAGCAAATTCAATTTCCATCACATTAGTCATACTCAATAGACAATTAGACGTTCAAACAAACGAAAGACATCAATTGATGTGCAATATTATGAACTTAGGCCTTCCACAGTGGTTTGAGTGTGATTCGTAGAGTGTCCTATGTATATTGGGACTAAGGTGGTCCCAAGACCACTTAAAGTTTGAAAAATATACATGTAGAGTTCTCCTCAGGTCCCTTTTGTGCCCATTAAGTATTTGATGTAATGTCTGCTAGGCATATCTCGACAGCACTCTGCAGTTTGCATCGAGAGCACTTGACAAATTTTCTCGATAACACTCATCAGATTGCTTCGACATATGTCGATATATGTTGACATGCGGGCAACACGGTTCAGTTGACAATAACAAACCCACCAAATGTTTGACGAAATGCTTCGATGAATAAACTGTAATTTTTTTGCACGCTTTGCGCTCTGTTTTTATTAAAAAACTTAGACCTTTAACACTGAGACCCCTATTGCTCTAATTTTGGATCCACCACTATAGAGTCTAAGTTTGATAACTATAACTCCTGCTACACTAGTGTGAGTCCAATATATTGGTATTACACTCAAATTCTCCGGTCCATTGTAAGAGCATAATCTTTTTTATATGAGTTCAATATATTAGTTGTAACAATTTAAAAATAAAAAATAAAAAAAAAACCTCAAACTTAAGAGGGCTTGTATTCCATGATTCACCTTAAGCTTATATAAAATTGCATGATAAATATAAATAGATAAAATGCAAGTAGAGAGTAGAATGGACATGCGGAGGAAGGGAAGAAGTATGATTATCTCTCCTCCTAGGACCATTCCCTCCTCTCACACTATTCTTTTTGTCTTATTCTCTATATAAAAAATTTAAAACAAGATGTAGACATAATGTAATCGCAATTATTTAAATAAGAGGGGATGAAAGAGGAGAGAATCCTACTCCGGAAGGGAATGGGAGCTGATGTGTGTTTGACGTCTGGATCTCCCTTTTTCTTTCTTAGACGATGGGTTTAGATCACAAATAAAAAAGTTGGGGGTAACCAATTGTCTCTCTGGCCACACAGACAATCTTTTGCTTACAGGGGATGGACCATTTGGATTTCGAAAACAAAAGGTGGTGAGGGAGGATACCTCTCCACCTTTCCTCCTATATCCTTGCCTGCCGAGTGACTCGGCTTGGCTTAGCTTTAGCTAGCACACCTTTTTCTCTCTTTCATTTTATTTAACCCATTTATTTTGCTGGGAATTGACCAATGAATTAGAAAGCTTCGATTCAAAGATATAAAAAAAAAACAAAGGTGTCTTTTAATTAGATTAAAAGGAAAGGAACGCCAAATTGGCCATGATGGTGACGATTCATCAAAATCTGTCCAGATAAGCACTTGCACAGTTGCACTTGCCCTGTCGACGGAGATGTGACACGACCCGATCAGCTGGGCCTGAGTCCGAGTGACATGGCTGGTTAAGACTTTGCTCTTTTGACCAATGTTAAATGCTTCACTTAGATATATGTGGACTTAATATGGAATATGTGCAAGGGGGATGGTCGGTGGTCCTCTTTGCTTCTCTCAACTAACTGCCGCCACCTTTTTCTTGCAACTGCAAATTTTATGGGTTCCCTGGGTTTGGCATGAGAACAATGTAAGAGAACTCATACTCTAACAAACAGCACACATACACACTGAGGACAGGGTGATGAATTACTTGTCCAACATATCTCCTAGTCTGAGTCCTATACCAAGTGATTCGGGTGATGTACAAATTTGGTCAGGAATAGTCAAATACTTGTTCCCTCCTTTTCGTCATCTTATCTTAATTAGTAGTAGTAGGTAGTTAGTGGTATTAGTATATTAGTAAGAGGAAAGGAGAGGAGAGGAGAGGAGGGAGGGTGGGTGGGTGGGGGTGGCAATTGGCAATGGCATCAGAAAGCTAAAGGTCCAGCTCAAAAGTTTTCATTGACACATCTGAATTCCTCTTTTCCAAATACAGTTGGTTACAATATTATTATTATTATTATTATACTATTTGAGCAAAGTTAATTAAGTAAGACGATGCTTGTTCAATTAAATCTAATCTTAATTTATAATGATTGAAAAGTTAGCATAATTCCCAATTAATCAGGAATTAATCAAGATATATACTCTCATTTTCTTCTTTTTTATCCCCAGATCCTTTGTCTTTTCCTGTTTGTTGTAATGCTTGGGCAGAGCTGATTTGGAAAATACAGCAAAAGATATATAACAACTCAGACAAACAAGGTGGACGAGACGGACAACACAAACACATTTGGAGATGGAAATGGGGGATATGCATGCAAAACCTTTTTTCTTTCGAGTTATTTGTTTGCACAACACAACATATAAACCTTATTGCTAAAATGTCTATTTCTTAGAGCAAAACTACCGATCCAAGATAACATATATGCCATGTCATTATCTTTTGAAAATGAAAAGATAATATTTTTATCTTTAAAAAAGAATCCGTGTAGTAGTAGGAGTAGTAGTGCCTTTATTCTCACTGATGAGCCATACATGACTCATGCAACCAAAAGTTAGATTCACCCCCACCCGCCTATTACCATCTTCCATCCCTTTATATACCTAACATAACGCTCACACAACCACAAGAATCACCAATTAAGCATCCATCCATCTCCTCATCACTTGTTCTTCTTCTTCTTCTTCTTCTTCTTCTTCTAATTAACTTGCAGCCAATCCTAGCAGATACTTACTAATCATAATCAAATATGAAGGCCTCACGTCAAGGACAAGTTATCGGAATTCCAATGAACTCGGCAGCAGCCGCCGCAGCTGCGTATTCGTTTAAGAGTGCAGATCATACTGCTGCTATCCAATATCATCATAACATTCCAGCAGCGGCTCCTAATGATCGTGAAATCACTACTGGATCTTCAAAGCTCATCGGACAAAGCAGAGTGCATTCAGTGCTTAACAGGATGAACAAGCTTACCAAGAAGGCTGACAGTTTTGCCCATGGAGTCAAAGAACACGGTAAGCAGCACGGACGACGACTTATTCAATTTCACTAAATCACTTTATTGCAGCTCGCTGTGCATGTATACTAATCCAGAAATTAAGATAAGTTTGAGTTACATAATAGTTTACTTAATTTGATTCAATTGTGCAGTGAGACTGGGGTCCAAGATCACAGAGACGGTGAAGTGGAAGCTGAGGCTGGGGGCTAAAATTGTGAAAGTAGGAGGGACGTTAGAGAAGGTGTTTAAGCATGCATTCAGCGTCAACGCAGGAGAGAGGCTGCTCAAGGCATCCCAGTGTTATCTGTCGACCACGGCGGGTCCTATGGCAGGCCTCCTCTTCATCTCGACGGACAAGATTGCGTTTTGCAGCGAGAGATCGATCAAACTGCCATCGTCAGATTCAGAGGGACAACAGCTGGTAAGAAGAGTCCACTACAAGGTGGTGATCCCAGTGAACAAGATCAACAGGGTCAACCAGAGCGAGAACGTGAAGAAGCCGTCGCAAAAGTACGTAGAAATAGTTACTGTGGATGACTTTGACTTCTGGTTTATGGGGTTCTTGAATTACCAGAAAACTTTGAAATATCTCCAGCAGGCTATTAATATTCCATCTCAAGCTTAATTAAGTAAGTACATGTGATCAAGTTGTGAGTAATTATGCACATTAAGCTAGGAGTACTGGAAGACGTGGAGGAGGAGCTCAATACCATTAATTTACGGACAATGTGTATATATTTCTTTTTTATTAATGAGAAAATTCTCTTTTCTTTGAAAACCACGTGGCTCTTCATGTTATTTACAATCACCGGTTTCGCAATGCACAATTAGTAATTCTTAAGCATAACTCGCACTCTTTCTACTGAAAGTCCATAGTAACACAACATGATCACACATCCTAATTTGTAAATAATTTCTATTTACCTGCTTGATAACAAGTAACATGAGTTTCATATGGCTTATAAATCCAGTCTAAGTAGTAACAAGTGACCACATAATTTATTCCACTCACCAAGTACATGATTTTAATATTCTGACTTCCGACTCAAGGAAGGAAGGAATTTAACACACAACACAACAAACCAGCAAACCAGCATTTCATTTATCCAGTACGGAGAAGAGAGGCAGAGGCTAGCTCAAAACCAGCCTCACCAGTCATCATTCAAGCTTTCCAACAGATTAATTAAACTCCCCCTCACAAATTTTGACCTGCTGTGGCTGACCGTGTCCACTCACAAAGTAACACCTCAGGCTCAGCTAAACTCCCTGTGAAGTTCACTTTACAACGTTCAGGAAACCGCAATCCCCCTTCTTCACAACCTGCCTTTGTAATGTATGGGCACGACCTTACATCCAGATATTCCAAAGTCTCACATTTGTCCAAAACCATGGCTATACCTGCCACCGTTACTTTTGGGCAATTACTCACCTTTAAAAACTTCAAACCCAACTCAGTGTCACCTCGACCATTTAAACCCTGAAAGGCGACATCGGTCACCTCCTCACAGCACCCAATGTTGAGAACCTCCAAGTTTCTGCACTGAGCAAGGATACAGCACAATGAAGAGTCTGAGATATTTAAACACCAATCCATCCGTAGGTTCTTGAGATTACTCTTACAAGAAACAGCCAGCAATTTTATAGATGCATCTGAAATGTCCCGGCAGCCACCAATGACTAGAGTTTCAAGATTTTTGCAGAATCTGGCCAACGACAATACAGACTCGTCACTGATTTTGTAGCAATCCAACAACTTCAGCGTCTTCAGAGAAGATGAGCATGCCATGGAGACACTGGAAACTCCACTATCTCCAATATTGCTGCATTTGTTGATATCTAAAACTTTGATCTGTTGGCATCCATTTACAAGATCAGTAAGTCCAGCGTCAGTTATGTTGGTGCAACCTTGGAGCCCCAACTCTTCCAAATGGTAACAATTCTTTGAAAGGGCTCGCAATAACCCATCAGTAACAAATCTGCAGCCAGCAAGATAAAGGCCCCGAAGGTCTGGGCAGCCCTGGGCAACAGCTGATAATCCTTTGTCTGTTAACTTTCTGCAATATGACACATCTAGGGACTGTAGTGATGGAAGACCAGAGCCAATGAAAATGACACCGGCATCTGAAATTCCTGTAAAAGAAAGAAATAAGTGATACATGAACCAGGTCTATTGTGTTCAATACAAAAGACAACGAGCACACGCATTTCAAAAAGTTTTTCTGATTTCCATTGTGCAGTCTAATAAGAATGTCACAGTATGCAGTATGCAGATGGAAAATATGCGCCTCCAATACAAATATCCCACAATCTAAGGTACGTGCAGCTCTGTTAAAGGCAATAAAAACCCACATAAAAGTAGAGAAAGATCCCTCATCGGCATTTAGTTTGTAACAATTAGTCACCTAATCTACTGCCATAAACCCATGAAACAAGCAGATATCCAATATTCAAACAAATTCAAATAAACAGTGTCTGAAATTGAAAAAAGAAAACCTTTGCAGTTGTGCAGATTGAGGAGTCTCAAGCACTTAAACCCATCAGCAATAACACGCAGATCAGAGTCGGTGACACCGGGATAGAAGGACCTGGAAATGGACTGAGAGAGGTCGAGGTCCAGGACCCTGTAGAACCTGGCAGCCATTTTGCGAAGCATGTGAGGCCCCGCACGTGCGGAGAGCCTCTTCCTCTCCGTGCTCTGCAAGTGAAGCCACCGCTTGCAGACCAACCCGAACACCTCCTTGTCCCTCTGGCTCTCCAGCTTCGCTAGCACCGACCGGAGCTCGTCGTCCGTCAACGCCTCGTTGATACATACCATTATTGTTATTGACGGGGAATCGGTTGATGATGAAGAAGCCATTGATATTTGATATTGAAGGAGGAAACCCTAACCCTGACCCCAATTGAGATTATACATTTGGGGAGGGCTCAATCAGGATTAGGATTAGGGTTGAGACTTGAGACTTGAGACTCGAGAGAGAAAGATGAGAGAGATTCAAAGGGGTAGCCTACTAGCCAGGGGCTCGGGTGTCATTCTACATAATATTGTCTCCCTGTTTCTGGTTTGCTCCACTTCTACTCTTGACATTGTGTCAACTATAAGTTACAAATTTGCATTATTTTCAGAATATAAATTTGAACTCTTTTTTTTATATATAAAGTTGCTTTATTTCAGAATATAAATTTGAAAAAAATTATATAAAATGGGTGGTTGTAGGCTTGTAAGTTGTAGCCTATCATATGGATACCAACTCCGAATAAAAAAATGAGTCAAATTATTATTTGTTCACCTCTGCTCCGACTGGAAAGAGGTATACAGTCACCAGGGTTGGTCCAAGTCATGAGCCAACGTGGAATGGTGGATTACAATTAAAATAGATACACGGATCGACTCTCTTTAGTGCAGTAAAAAGAGTCCAACTACAAGTTATGCTATAGGTAATGTTTTGATGTCCCCCCGTTTCAATGCGTATCAAAAGATCAAAACTGCAAATGGGTACAACTAACATCATCATTCATCCTTTGGTAAAACTTGACAGTTGATCGATGAGAATAATCTGTTTGTATATATTGTCTGTAGCATGTGATGTGAAAACAAACAGCGGAAAATGGATATCCTGTGTTGCATTCAACCACCTCTACACAAATGAATTAATTGGATATGCTGTGTAAATTTAACCACAAGTAACAGAAAGAATTTTAGAATCATCTTCGGTGACTCCATGGTTTCGATCAATCAATGCGACTGTTTGCAACAAGGAAGCACGCAGTCCTCCAGAAACCCGGTTAGCTCACAAGTGTACAGTTTTGGGTCGTTTCTGAAATGATCAACGTGTGGCGTCGACACAAAGTTGCAAGCCCTAACCTCATGTCCCGCCCTCTTTTGCTCCTTTATGAATGATTCCACTGACCCTGCAGGAATCACCCTGTCTGCAGAGCTGTAGATATACAATTGCGGACAACTTGGTTGGCGCGCTGACAATAGGCTTAACACATCAGAAAGCCTCCTGCAATCCCAACAATAAGATTCATATTACTTTCCATACAAGGAGAGAACAACTCTTGCCAATACTAATTTGACATTTGCTTTGACAATGGTTCTTCCAGGATTATATAACACAGGTGAGCCGTGATGTGAATGAATTCAAGCATAAACGGAAATTTGTAGCATGGGAAGGTGCATGAAGATTCACATCCACCTCGGATAATTCTATGAAAATAAAAGGGCAAGGAAGAATAAGATAGGCTACCTGTTCACTGTAGGAAATTTCAAAACCACCCCAAAGAACTTCTCCAAGACTACTAGCAATGCTGCTTCGGTTACTGCAGGTTTGGGTGCCACTACTTCATTATTGCTGCCAACCAAAGCATCCATCCCTGACTCATTTGAGTCCATTGTTCCTTTTGCTGCTACACTACGCTTTTTCAGAAAGGCTGCAGAGAAACCAGAAGCCCAGACCTGCACAAGGGCAAGAATTAGATAGCACACTCATCCAAACACAAATCATCTAAAATTCTAAGAAAAAACCTGGAACCCAGAAAAAACTAAAAAAACAGATCATTTGCATAACAAACCCAAACAGCTGTCTGAATGAGCCACACAAAACTCAGAAACCAATACGTTTTCTTTGGATATTCCTACAACATTTGGGCAAGGTGGTAGTGATAGGCTCTGCTGCTACAACTATATTGAGCAAAATGAAGTATTATATTGGTCAAATTCATAGAAACATGATCCACACTCTAAAAAATGACAGCAACAGGTTATGTCTGGTGCCAAATGGAGTATGTGTAGATAACTTTTTATCTTTTAAATATGATCAGTAGATAACTTCTGCTCTTTCCCAGTTACAGAACTGCAACTATCCTTTACCTGGGGGTCAGGTGCTGCAACAGGTGCAGAATCCACAACGCAGCCCCGAATCCTGCCCATTAGAGAAGGATCGTGCTTCTGGAACTGCTCCAAAATTACCCCATACCTGTAAGATGCAGCAAACCAGGAAATGGTTACACAGGAGAACGGGGAAATCGCACATGGAGTTTATATAAGAAAAAGAATATAAGTAGGGACTGGACTCACGTTAACCATCCAGTATTGCTAAAAGTATGGAACACCATGTTCTTTCCATGTTCCTCTTCTAACCAATCAGCCAAATGGCTCACAAGCGAGTCGATGTGCTCTTCAACTTTCCCGCCAGGTTGGTATTTGAGAATGTCAGACATGGGCAAAGTAAATGTAATAGCATGATATCCCCTGGAAGTATACCACTCGGCATACTTCTTGAGATGTTTTTGCTTTGCTCCCAACCATCCTAGCAAAACCACCACAGTCCTGAACTTTGCTGATGAGCAATCAGAACCGCCTGAAACATCTATGGCATTCGGTTCAGGTAAATGCCATCTGTACGAGACCTCAGATGGGGAGGTAGATGATATATCATGGTTATACGAAGCTGGCTTTCGTGCTTTAACCAGGTCTGCGGACTGATACAGATTAAGAAGAAGAGGTGAAGATGCAACCGATGAATATAGCTGCTTGGGAACAAAATTGCAGCCCGTGTTAGGAATTGGGAAGTTAATGTTGGGCACAGGTACTGGAATTCTAGAGACAAAGGACAAGTTTGCGAGCTTAGAAACCGAAATATGTGAAACCCAGGATGAGTTCCAATCTTGCAAGGAGGTGATGTGTGATAAACCCGACGTAGAACAAGCGTCATTGGATCGGTAAGACGGCAATTTATCAGAGATGTCAGCAGAAACCGAGGCAACAGCAACGGCAGCAGCCGCAACGAGAGGTCGTTGAACCATTCCAGACAAGGAAGCCATATTGTTGGTAAGGGCGCCCAAAATATCTCATGCGAATATCAAGCAACCACCATTCAACATATGAAAAGGAAATGACAAGCAAGCCAAGCGACCAGATTTCCCAGAAAGCCAACAATTTCAAGCACGGGAATCACCTGCAGAGAAAATGAATGAATGGAAATATGACGATAAATACAAACCACCAAGAAGAATAGTCAAGCACCAACAAATAAGGAATTGGGATTGTATCAAATTGGAATAAGGAATTCAAACGACGAAAGAAATAATAAAAATTGGAATCGGAATTTATAGGCGCATGAAAAACACGCAAGAATTAGAATTTAATAGTGGATAGAAAACCGAAAAGTGGGTTGGTTTGGGGAGCGCATATTCGTTGATTGTCAAAAGAAATATTCTCACCGCGTTGCTTGGACTTGTAAGTTTCTAACAAAAACTAAATCGGGCTGTCAATGTCGTTTGACAGACAGCCCGATTATCACCACCACGCGCACCCGACACCGACCAACCAATAGCAATTTGCAAGAACCCTCCTCCTTGCCTGATCCTTCCTTTCTTCGTTTTCTTCCCTGGAGATTACCAAAGCTTTCCTGGATTCTGATGTTTGTCTTTGTTTCCAAATAAAAATCCAAGCTGGCGGTTTAAACACAAGGTCCAGTAGAAAAATGCCACGTTTATAATAAAAAGAAAAGAAAAGTTTAGAAGTTTGGAGATAGTGATGGGCTGATAGGGTCAGTGGGGAAAGGCAGGAGCTTCCGGCAACCTAGGACCGCGAGCTCATTGGCAATTTGGCAGAGCAGAGAAAAAGACCGTTTTGCCCAATGGCCTTTTTCGTGTTTTTAAGAAATTTTCCTATTTCTTCGTTTGGAAATAAAAGTTCTTACAAATCGTGAATGACGATTTTGATATTAAATTAAGCTGTTAATTATGTGGTTTAATTGAATTCTATCTTCTTTTAACGTAAAAATATCGATGTATTCAATAAAACAAATAAACGAAAAAAAAAATCCTATATCTAAATGCGATGATTTAGAATTCAATTTAATTTAATTCGATGACGAAAATAAATATTGTGAGAATGAATAAACAATTTTCAGAGAAAAGGTTGAGAGGAGGCTGACCTGACTGAAGAAATTAAACCAAGGAAGAGAAGGAGGTGGTGAATGGCGAACGGCGAGGCCCCTCCCTCCCCTCCTCTTCCCTTCCGCCTCTTTTCCTTATCTCTCTCTCTCTGTTGCTGCAGTGCGGGCTTGCCTTTTCTCTTTCTCCTCTGTTGGTCCCCCCGCGCCTCTTTTGCTTTTTCTGTTGCTTGCGGTGCGGTGCGGGATTACCTTTTAGTTATATTAATCAATTAGACCCCAAAAAGATAAATCAATTTAGGATTGTTTATTTATAACTATAAGGAATTTATTTATGTGCTTAAATTAAGCTAGATATTTTCTATATTTTATATTTTCATACCTGAAAATTTATGAAATTCAAGACATGGGAATTACCAACAGCAGCAATGCGCGGACTGTAGCTTCCTAGTTAGTCTGCTTGACTGTGGTAAAAAACAAAGTAAAATTCTCCAGGACCTTATCGATCCGAAATTAATAAATAATCATGACTTACCACCATTTATCTATTTTTTAAGGAGAAAAACAAAATATGAGAACTATCAAAAGAGTTTTTGCTTATTTGATATTTATGGGCACTTGCACTTGCACAATCAAATATTTGGGATAAGAGGATATTCGTGGAGAATATTCCCACTAACGAAGCAAAAGGGTCCGGAGACTTGGAGAGGAGGCAATCAATATTTTCCATACTGTTTACATAATAATTTGTTTCTTTTATTTCTTATGCGGATAATATAATCATTATATTAGAAAACAAGAAGCACATTTTGATGTTTCAAGGCTTCACAAAAAAAAAATTGGACTGAAAAGCCCCTTAAACAAAAAAAAAAGAACTGACCAAATTTGATACATGAAAACACACAAGGGCAATTTTGTAAAAAAAATATAAATCTAAAATTCATTTTATTAGAAGCAAAAAATAAAAATAAAATAAAATAAAAAAGGGGAAGACGTGTATTAAATCTCACTAGAAAAGGGGGCCAATAACCCCACTCCTCCTCCATTTTAGGAGAGAGATTATTATCCCATATAAATGTATAAAAATTTTAAAATTTTATTTTATTGGGAAAAAATGAAAAGAAAAAAACAACAAATAAAAAAGGACAGATACTTCAAATCAAGAAAAAAATAGTTTGAGCACCTAATAAATTGTAGGATCACATTCAAATTGCAATAATTTCCTTAACTCCCGTGCAAAATATTTCATAAAACTAAAAAATTTAACTTTCTTGACCAAAATTGTGAGTTATAACTCATGTTTTCCAATTGATTTTGAGAATTTTAGCAAGATTCATTTTAAGCCAAAATGCGAGCCACTCTAGTTGCACCGCATGTTTACTTTAATTAATTTAGGACATTCCAAATATTTTCGGCACATATAAATATATTTTGAGTCACCCTAATAGTTTATACTTATTTTTCGATTTTTCAACATTAAAAATAAATAAAAACTAGTTTTGGGCCCTAATCATTTGTAGGATCACATTCAAATGTCTTGCAACATTTTTCTTAATTCCCACGCAAAATATTTCCTAAAACTAAAAATTTCATTTTTTTTACAACAACTATGAGTAACTCACGTTTTCCAATCGATTTTGTGACTTTATACAAGATTTATTATCAGCCAAAGTTCGAGTTATTCTAATCGCATAATGTTTACTAAAGATAATTTAGGATAAATATTTTCAACACGTAAAAATATATTTGGGGGCCCTTTATTAGTTTATATTAATTTTTCTATTTTAAATTTTTTTAAATCAAGAAAAAATAGTTTAAGGACCTAATAAATTGTAGGATCACATTCAAATGAATTGCAATAATTTCCTTAACTCCCACGCAAAATATTTCATAAAACTAAAAATTTTAATTTTTTTGACCAAAACTGTGTGTTATAACCCACGTTTTCCAATTGATTTTGATAATTTTTACAAGATTCATTTTAAGCCAAAATGCGAGTCATTCTAGTCACACCGCATGTTTCATAAAATTAATTTAGGACATTCCTAATATGTACGACACATAAAAATATATTTTGAGCCCCTTAATAATTCATAATTATTTTTCTATTTTTCAACTTTAAAAATCAATAAGAAATAGTTTTGGGACCTAATAATTGGTATGATCACATTCAAATATCCTGCAACATTTTTCTTAACTCCCACGCAAAATATTTCCTAAAACAAAAAATTTCAATTTTTTTACAAAAACTGTGAGTTAAAACTCATGTTTTCCAATCGATTTTGTGACTTTATATAAGATTCATAATAAGCCAAAGTTCAAGTTATTCTAGTCTCATAATGTTTACTAAAGATAATTTAGGATATTCCACATATTTTCAACACGTAAAAATATATTTTGGGGCCCTCTATTAGTTTATATTTGTTTTTCTATTTTAAACCTTTAAAAATCAAGAAAAATTAGTTTCAGGACCTAATAAATGGTAGGATCGCATTCAAATGTATTGCAACATTTTACTTAACTCCCGTGCAAAATATTTCTTAAGACTAAAAATTTCAATTTTTTGACAAAAATTGTGAGTTATAACCCATGTTTTCCAATTGATTTTGAGAATTTTTACAAGATTCATTTTAAACCAAAATGCGAGTCACTCTAGTCGCAATGCATGTTTGTTAAATTTTAGGACATTCCAAATATTTTAGACACATAAAAATATATTTTGTGTGCCCCTAATAGTTTATACTTATTTTTCTATTTTTCAACATTAACAATCTATAAAAAATTGTTTTGGGACCTAATAATTGGTAGGATCAATTCAAATTTCTTGCAACATTTTTCTTAATTCCCATGCAAAATATTTCCTAAAACTAAAAATTTCAATTTTTTTACAAAAACTATGAGTTATAACTCATGTTTTCCAATTGATTTTGTGACTTTATACAAGATTCATTATAAGCCAAAGTTCGAGTGATTCTAGTCGCATAATGTTTACTAAAGATAATTTAGGATATTCCACATATTTTCGACACATAAAAATATATTATGGGGCCCTCTATTAGTTTATATTAATTTTTCTATTTTAAACCTTTAAAAATCAAGAAAAAATAATTTCAAGACCTAATAAATGGTTGGATCACATTCAAATGTCATGCAACAATTTCCTTAACTCCTGTGCAAAATATTTCGTAAAACTAAATTTTTTATTTTTTGACCAAAATTGTGAGTCCACGTTTTCCAATTGATTTTAAGAATCTTTACAAGATTCATTTTAAGCCAAAATGCGAGTCACTATAGTTGGTCTAAAATATCCATAATATCCCGATATTTCCATCGAAATTTCCATGTTTTTGGACTACCGATATTTCCGATATCATCGATATTTTAGACCTTGCTAAGTCACTCATGTATCTTACCATGCAATGTATAAAGTGTAAAATATTGTACTAATTCATTATATATAAATGATTATGGTGTGTTTAAACTTCTTTCATTAATTACTACATATTTTCTACACTCACAATATTTGCCAGCTCGCTATATAATCAACTTAAATTTGTTATATCTATAATGCAATGCATTTCCTTCCAATTTTTTGTGATAAACTAATAGATAATTGACTAAATAAACATCCTGCAAAGTTTCAATAAAAATTTCCAAATTTTTCTTATAATTTCCATGGTTTTTATTCAATTTTTATCGATATCGATAATATCTCGATATTTCCATCCAAATTTCTGTGTTTTTGGATAACCGATATTTCCGATATCATCGATATTTTATACCTTTTGCACTACATGCTTACTAAACTTAATTTAGGACATTGCAAATATTTTCGACACATAAAATTATTTTTTGTGACCCCCTAATAGTTTATATTTATTTTTCAAGTTAAAAATCAATAAAAAATAGTTCCGGGACCAAATAATTGGTACAATCACATTCAAATGTCTTGCAACATTTTTCTTAACTCCCATGCAAAGTATTTCCTAAAACTAAAATTTCAATTTTTTACAAAAAATGTGTGTTACAACCCACATTTTTCAATTGATTTTGAGAATTTTTACAAGATTCATTTTAAGTCAAAATGCGAGTCATTCTAGTCGCACCGCATGTTTCATAAAATTAATTTAGGAATTTCCTAATATGTATGACAAATAACAATATATTTTGAGCCCCTTAATAATTCATATTTATTTTCTTATTTTTCAACTTTTAAAATCAATAAGAAATAGTTTTGGGACCTAATAATTGGTAGGATCACATTCAAATGTCTTGCAACATTTTTCTTAAACGCAAAATATTTCCTAAAACTAAAAATTTCAATTTTTTACAAAACTGTGAGTTATAACTTATAACCCATTGTAGACATCGAAATTTCGGTAAATAAATGTTGATCGATAAATCAAAGTGTCAACGCTCATGTATTACATAAATTTTACACGCAGCGTGTGACTCAACGAAAATTGAAATGAGTTGGAAAAGTCATCAAATAGGACACGTGTCAACACCTGGCAGAAACGACTTATTTCATCTGGGATATTATATTCAAAATTAGGCCTTGGAAAATTCTATAAATACAAGCCCATTTCATTCATTTTGGGGAACCAATTCATATTACACCTTGAAGCTCTGAAGCTCTGAAACTCCGAAGCTCTCAAGCATCCACGTTCCCGAAGAATCAAGAAAGTGTTCTTCGTTCTTCGTTCATCGTTCTTCCAAGATCAAGCCTCGACGGCCCTTGGATCAACAATCATCCACCTTCAAGATCAAGCCCTGACGGCCCTTGAAGAAAGCGTTCTTCGTTCTTCGTTCATCGTTCTTCCAAGATCAAGCCCCAACGGCCCTTTGGATCAACAATCATCCACCAATTCAAGATCAAGCCCCGACGACCCTTGAAGAAAGCACCATCGTTCATCATCCGTTCATCCAAGATCAAGCCCCAACGGCCCTTTGGATCAACAGCGTCGACAAATCCACACATCCAACCGTTCTTCAAGATCAAGCCCAAAAGCCCTTGAAGATCCGTTCATCACTGTTCTTCAAGATCAAGCCCAAAAGCCCTTGGAGATCCGTTCATCACTGTTCTTCAAAGATCAAGCCCAAAAGCCCCTTTGAAGATCCGCTCAAATCCACCTTCAAGATCAAGTCCACGGCCCTTGAAGAACGTTCCCAACAGCCCTTTGGATCAATCGCACATCCACAAATACACACCTTACGGAGATCGAATCAGA